AGCGCAGAAGACGTCGTGTAAATAATATATCAGATATATTATTTGCAAGACGTTTTCTGCGCTTGACTTCTACTGCCCGTGCCCTTTCCAGTTCTATATATATGTATATATATTTATAAGAATAATATTTATAATAGCTTCTTAAATTTTTAAAGTTAGAGAAAATCGATTCAAAATTTTACGATAGATTTAAAAAATTAAGTAAGAACATTGTGTGCATGCACGTTGTTGATTGAGCAAAGTTAGAAAGCGTCGGTGACTTAATGGCACAACAGCGAGGAGTTTCAATGCAATTAATGTATGTACGTCTCATCTTCTCGGCAATAGGTGGCATATTGATTACAATACGTATATCAGAGTGTGAATAACAAATACGCGTGGTTGCATGTCCACCTTTGGGCAGAAGTACCTTTCGTTTTAACGTGTGAGCGTGCAAACGATTTGTAATATCCGGTATAATAAATCGGTCGCGTCTTTAAATTGCTGTAACGGAATTTGCATCCGCCGTGCCAACGGAATGCACTTTGCTACCAAAGAATGCAGATATCCTTGTAATAGAAGTCTCATTGGGATACGTATATGAGCTATCAAAGACGTTGAAGGTGTCTTCGTTATTGAAATACCAATAAATGCTAATCGAGCTTGCTAAGCGAGTAATTTTGTTTTTTTCTTAATGACATTGTCGGGGAATCTTTTCGCCGCAATATAACTTCGCACCTGATCCCTCGATGGAATGTAGAATGGTTAGGCGTCTATAAAATCGAATGATTGGTCTATCGTGGAACAGTTTGTACGCGCCTTTCACCCAAGCAGCTCTTAATTCAAGAGAAACGAGAAGAAGAAGGAGCAGAAGGAAGGGCGTATAAGATGTAATCGCTAGGAGCGGTCGTTCTACGCGCAATCAAGGACTGTGTGATATGCTTTTATCATGATGTAATCAGTTTGTAATGCGCAACTGTCTATCTCTTACACAGAATTTTAATGTAACTGTAAAGTCGGTCACAAAACTTTCGTACTTACCAAAATGACGATTTCTTTGCTCCAAAACGATTTCGCCTATGTAACAATCGTATTCTGTTAGGAAGGATACACCAATCTCATGCACAGTCCTTAAGTTTGTTAGATAGATGCTATAAAAAGAACACTTAATTGTAAAACCAATAATTATCGTCAAAGCTAATTCATGATCAGTGATTCGTAGCTTACCATTTTCTCCATTTGGCGTTCATTCTGATCGAATCATAAGGCAGGATCGATTTTAAATTACCATTATTACCCAGGATTAAAATAGGATTTTTGTTAGACTCATTCGAAATAATCTCGGGTTCTGTATAAATGACGGTCGCCTGGATGTCTTGCTTCAAATCGATGTGAACTAGGAATAATCTGTAACAATATATATATATATAAAATATTTATATATTGTGTATAT